ACACACACACACTCGTAATCCATGATCGATCTGATTGTTTATGGTGTTCCTCGCAGGGCCGTGCTCACGTGTGTATTGGGACGTGGTGGATTTCCCGTTCCCTAATGGTGTTGTTCCTGATTTGATTTATCAGAACATGAAAAAAATTCTCGAGAGTAAGGGTTTTTTTGGTGAATTGTCAATCATNGCNTATGTTNANNAGGAAANCTTCGCNGANGAATTGNTCGATGNTTATGANAANGCCGGAATCACCATCATTCACCATCCCCATCNAGGTGAACNAACNATGTATCTTATNCTTTTGTTTNTCCTTANCTNGTTTTATATATGTCTCTAATAATCTATATCTGACTTTGACATATAGGGGAATATGATAGATGTCGTGTTATGTTTCTGGACATTGCTTGGTGGGCATACGGAAATTTTGAGTACCCTTTTAAACGGATAAATTTGATGTTAATCTCAAAGCTAAACAGCGANCAATCGTGTTTNCTCNANTTTCTTGAAGNTTGGGCANATTCATNTTTNNATGTTCTCCTAGCAATGCCTCAACTTCCTGAAGTTCTCTCATCAAAGATACATACTGTTAGCTTTGACTGCCTTTCGACAGGACTTTTAGATGGAGGAAATCCTATCGACCAAAGCGGAACCGTACAAGGTCATCACTCGAATTTACCTATGTCTGCTTCTCCCGGTACAGATCTCTCTCTCTCGAATAATTCATGATCAATCTGATTTTTTTAATCCGCTTTCTGTATTTTAAAACCTTCCCCGCAGAGCCTCGCACATGTGTATTCTGGGACGTCGTGGATTTCCCTTTCCCTAGGGGTGTTCCTCCTAGTTTGGTTCGTCGCAAGATGGACCTAATTCTCGAGAAGATGGGTTTTCTTGGTCAGGTGTCAATTATGGCTTATGATCACGAATACTTACCCCATAGATGGGGTAAATTTCGCGATGACTATGAGAAGGCCGACTATGAGAAGGCCGGAATCACCATCATTCACAATTGCCAACTAGGTGAATGAATATTATACTTTGTTTTTCTTTAACTTAGATATTTCTCTGTCTATTAATCTACGTTGATAATGTTACACTTGTAGAGGATAAATACGCAAGAGTTCATACTATGTTAGTGGACATAGTTTTGTGGGCATTGGAAAATCCTGCCAACTATTTTGAACCATCAAATTTGATGGTAATCTCAAGAAACATCAAAAAGGACACAGATTTCCTTAATGCCCTTGAAGCTTTGGAGGATAGGTATTACAACGTTCTTTTAGCTGTGCCTCAAGATCTCTCATCAAGTGAGCTACAAACTGTTAGCTTTAAATGGCTTTTGACAAGCCTTTTAGACGAAAGCGAAACCTTACAAGGTCTTAACCATCAGTTGAAGCATAAATTGAAGGACAGAGAGGAGAATGTTGGTTTTTCTGATGGACTAGGTTCTCTGTATGATCCCCAACCATTTGGCAGTAAGTTCTATTTCTTATTCGAAATTGCTCTTTCCCGAGCTGTCTTGGATCTAACTCGCGATCTGTCATTGTAAAACTTAATGGTTGATTGATCTTCATGATGTAATTGTTTCTACATTCTCGTCTCAGGGTCTGAGATAACCCTCTTCTTGGATGTCCAGCATTGCCCAACAAATGATGCAGAAATCGCCGAAAGTCTTTGTCGAAAGGGTCATAGAGATGAAGTGTTAATAAGGCCTTATGCCGATGAGTATTACATGGATCTTCAGTGGAAGTGCGGAACTGATCCTGATTGTGATTTCATGTTCGTAGACCCTCTAATCAGAGTCGTTACTGAAAGTGAGTGTAAACCCTCCATTCCTTTCTCGTTTTTTTCCCTTGTATATGTCTGTTAATCCCGATCTGCCATGATATATATTTTTCCAGGTAATAAATATGCAAAAATTACGAGGATGTTATTGGACCTTCTTTTCTGGGCGATGAACNATGANGATANACCACAAAATTTCATGTTTATCTCGAAACCCGACACCAAGTGCAACAGTGTTATTGAAGCGTTGGAACACCGAGGTTTCAACCTTATCCTAGGACCCTCTGAGGAGGTCTCGTTGCAGATTTGTAAGAACCTACGAGATGCAGAACGGCGTATCAACCAAACCGTAAAGTTACGAGGTCGGAAGCTCAGAGAGAGTCGAAAACGTGGATGTAGGTTTTCTAACTCTCTTCTGAGTTTTTTTTTGTCTGTCTGTCTCTGTCTCATTTATCAGTTTGGCCCTGTCATAGTAAATTTTATTAGACGATTGATCTTATCAATCATATTCATGATCTAATCGTTTATACGGTCTCGTCTTGTGTAACTATCTCAGCGCCTCCGATTGCTGTCTTCTGGCTGCTTGGGGAGGATTGCCCATCCAATCCCACGTTGTTGAGGTGGAATATCGAATCAACCCTTGAGAAGAAGGGTTTTGTGGGATTTCTGACAATCACGGTTTATCTTGACGAGGGAAAACTTTCAAATGAAGTGCAGCATGCCTATTACAACTCGGGGATGAGTGTCCACCCCGTACCTGAAGAGTCTGTACGCACAAAAATTAATATAATGGCATGGGACATGATTAAGTGGACATTTTCCATTTCTGAACCATCACACTTTTTNGTAATCGCAAANCCCTTNCAAGACGTGNTGNTGGACTGTCTTCTTGAAGATTTTGCTCGCAGAGGACTCCACGTTCTCTTCGAGCTGCCTGATTATATGGTCAGTTTCGGAAGCTTCGTATGGTCTGCTAAAAGCCTATTAGATGGAAGTTGCAGTGCGCCTACCTAGAAAGCGAACAGTAGTGGACAATAACGTTTTACAATTATCAGCT